GGTAACAAATGACAACAGGGTGCGTCTGCTGGATCTAATTGAGGACTACTCTCTTCTAGTCAACAACAGGTTTTTTGAGAAGCAAAAGGGAAGGCTGTGGACGTGGCTGTAACCATCAGGGACGAAATCCCAGATCAACTTCATCCTGACCAGGAGGAAATGGCGTAACTGCCTTTAAGTTATTAACTCTAGCGCCCTCATCAGTGGGATCAGATCATAGAGTGGTGGTTACGAAGGTGCGTCTCAGCCTCCAAGCACCGAGAAAGGCAGTCACAATAAGTGTGAAGTACGAATGGAAGAAGCTCATGGGAAATAGCAATCTGCAAGAGAGGTACGCCATAGACGTTCACAATCGGTTCCAGGTACTGACTGGGGAGGGGGAATCTGCAACTGACCGATATGACAAGTTTGTGAAAGCAAACGAGGAGGCCGCGGAGGTCTGCACGGACAAGGTCCGCAAGGTGACGAGGAGGGCGAAAGCCTAATCGGATCCTTGTGTCGTCAGGGAGGAGATGGAAGTGGCCTACATATCTCTTGTAGCAGCCTTCAGCCTCATCATTTGAGTGGTGTACTCCAACAAGAAGAAGGCCCTCGTCAAAACCTATGATCTTATCGAAGAAGAGGTGCTTACTCACAAAATCAGAGAGGTGGAAGTAGCTCGGGTCAACCAAAAATGCGATGAGCTGGAAGCTGATCAACGAGATAGCTGGTAGAAAGTCTTCCAAGCCCTCTCAGATCAAGGGAGATACAGACCACTTCTTGGTGATAAATCAGAGATGATGGATGAGCAGGTGGAGGTAGTATTCGAGGACCCAGACATATCGAAGATGGTCCCTTCAACGAAGAGGAGTGCGTGAAAGCAAAGAGGGCGCTCAAGGCTGGAAAATGCTGTGGGGAGGACAGTGTCGTCCTAGAGGTCCTGAAGTATGTCCCCATAGACGACCTCGTACTCGACTTTGTCAACAAGGCATATGAGGAGGGAGAGATACCAGATCAGTGAAGCAGTATTAATATCATCCCGCTTCCGAAGTTTTGTGACCTCACATGCACGGACAACTACCGAGGGATAAGTCTTGCCTCTTTTGTCGCCAAAACCTTTAACCGGATGGTGCTCAGCCGGATTCGGCCAGTGAGTCAACCTTCCTGTTAAAATGTTCAAAGACAATGGTAAATAAAACAATGTCCACAAATTATTCTGTTCTCCGAATTAATTTATTAATTTAAAAATCACTCCTACTTACAACAATACCTCAAGCTTGAGTTAATTACTCTCAAATGCACCACTTGTAAATTGTAATCAAATATATAAACAGAAAATATCACAACTGTGTTGGACTATCACATCCAAAGTACGAATGAATACGGGATTAATCACACTGGTCAAATATCCAACAAAAAAATATTACACTATTACGATCGGTTGAATCTACCCAAGATTCACAACCTTCTGCACACTATTAATTTAAACTTCTCCAAAATATATGAAAACAAAACTCCTTGATCATCACTGTATAAGTGGAATCAAATTTCAAACTTCTCTCCGCAAATACTACCAAATTATTAGGTTCTCTGTAACTCCACTCCCCGCAGGGTCTGTGTGAACGAAGTCACAAATTTAAATTGAAACTTTTATCCTACTTTTGATGACGTTTCACGTCCTCACGTTACTTCAAATTCAAAATACACTATTACTATACTATCAAAAAACAATTACATAAATGCAGGCATAAAAACAACTGACTTCTTCCTGGTAGTTCTCGCCACCCACTCCACGGTTATAGACACTGGAAATGCTGCTGCTGTAAGCTGCCTTCAGCCCTCTGGCTTGACTTCAGTGCCTGTGGCGTCGCCTTTGTGCGTCTATCCTCGTCAGTTATAGGATCAGATTAGGCCGTCTGTAAATTTATAATTTCAATAAACTCTCACAATAATTTTGAGTCACTATACAAAATACAGGCCGAATCACCAATCAAATGTTCTTCAAAGCTAATCCTAAAAATGAATACTACTCTATACTTCGATCTCATGTCACTTAGACTTTTCTAATTCTTAAATTAACACAATTAAATCAACTTCTGATATATACATCAGGTATGCAATAATCCTCATAGTATATAGCCAATCAACTTTATCTCAAACAATTCAAAATTCTAGATTCAATCCTTAATCCTGGTGAATCTCACAACAATAAATATAATGAAGGTAAAACAATATCTTCTTTTCTTTTAATTAATCATGAAAACAATTACATCTTCAACTTACGGTTGCTGGTCGATGTTGCTGACTTGTCTCCCTCACACCAAAGTTAAAAACACATTCAAGCACAAATTTGCTTGAAAAGCACTCTGCAGATCTTCAATGTTGGCTGCACTGCGATTGTCACGAGCCAGATTGCTTGGAAGAAAGATCTTAGGGCCTGAATTACCCTAAAGTATCAAAAATCGCTGCAGCAGAGCAGAGTGATGGCGCAAATACGTGTACATGTACACAGCTCAGAATCATGGAGACAACTACCTCACTTTCCCTTCAAATTCCAGCAACCTTCCGCCAATTACCATCTCATTTCCTCACACTCATTCAAACCTAACTTCATTCTCATTCTTATTTAAACCAAAGCTCATGAATATGCAAAATATCTACCTTACCAGAGTGGAGATACCAGGGATTTGTATTGTGTGCGTGTGGGTACATGGAAGATGCTCCTAGAGGTATTGTGTGTGGAATGTGTTCTTATTGTTACCTTGATCAGTCAACCACGGCTGGCTAGGTTTGGACTCTGATCCACTCATGCATAGTTATACAAGGGTAAAAAAAGAGAGAATTATTCACACTACCTATTAAATAGTCACAGATACAAGAGAAGGGTGGTTTTATTGTGACATGCATGTCAAAACTTATCGTCCCAAAGTCACACATTCAAGTTGCTGGAATATTTCCTCCTCAACCTTTGTGCCTCTTCATTGAGAAACAACTGATACAGGAACAGGCAGGCAGGCTTCCGTCCCGGCAAATCTACAACGGGACAGCTTCTAAACCTCACTCAGTACATTAAGGACTGCCTCCATCAGAAAAAAATAGATCACCGGCGCTGTCTTTGTTGATCTTACAGCTGCTTTTGACAGTGTTAACCGTTGCTGACTCCTTCAGAAGATCCTGGACACGACGGCAGACCTGAACCTTACCCAGTTTATTGGTGTTCTACTGAAGAACCATCGTTTCTTTGTAGTATTCAAAGGCAGAGTAGAGTACGTCTTCAAAGGAACGGTCCCCCAAGGGAAGACGTTGACCGATGCTCTTGACCAGTCACAGCAGTGCTACACTGTGAGTCACCTTAAAGCGATCAACCCTGCTATTAAGACCCAAGTGTGTGCCTCCTGGGTTGACCAGGCTGGTGGCGTCTCCCCCACAACATGAGATGCCAATCAAGCCTGCAGAAGCCTTACCTACAGGATCCAATGCAGGATGGAAGACCTGGAGGTGCTTAAATCACCTCCGCTCTGGAGTGGCTCGCACCAAAAGAAGTGGGGATTTTCCTCAACCGACAAACACCCTGTGTGAGTGTGGTACTGCAGAGGACACTTTACAACATTTCATATTTAGATGTCAGGCACTAAAGGGTTGGTCATATTTTGGCCCTAAAAGGGAGGAGGGGGCGGATTTTCCGTCTTTCAACTTTTTCCGCGATACTCTTGAGAAATTATTTATTTCAAGGCCTGAGCTGTCCTGACTTTTTAGCCTCGAGTCTTGCACATCTTTTGATACCAAAAACATAAAATTCGAAACACAGGTTGCCGCGCAGCGAAATATGTTCGACGCTACCCTCCGTCAAAACTGAATTTCCCCATATACGTAGTGTACAGATTTGAATTACCATACGTGTTTATGAATAATTAATTAGCTGTAATTCCAAAACCCTTTAACCCATAGTCATGAATATTCTTGGGTTTGTTCATGTTATGTTGTTCTATGCACGTACCAAGTTTCATAATTTTTCGTCACTCGATGGCCGAGGTCATGGGGGGGGGGCGGAATCTGCGTGAGATGGTCAAAACAACCCGGCCCTTTTCGGGCAAAAGTGACATTTTCCCATGTTTTCTTCAGCAAAACCCATAAATACATTAATAATAACATTTATTATAATGGAGAAACTCTCAACCAAATACAATATGTGCTCACTTGCCTCGAAAATCTTCGCAAACCCTTCCGAAAGGCAATTTTTAGGTGAAAATGACCCATGAACTTTGACCTCAGGTCAAGGTTACTAAAGGTCAATGGAAAAAATGGCAACATCAATTTTCTTGTTCTCAGGACTCATAAGATTACATTTATAATGGTTGGCATAAATTAACATGAAATTTCGACGGGAACCCAAATCTGTACATTGGCCCCCCTACTATAGAGCAAGTGTTCGAGGACCCAGACATATCGAAGATGGTCCCTTCAACGAAGAGGAGTACGTGAAAGCAAAGGGGGCGCTCAAGGCTGGAAAATGCTGTGGGGAGGACAGTGTCGTCCCAGAGGTCCTGAAGTATGTCCCCATAGACGACCTCGTACTCGACTTTGTCAACAAGGCATATGAGAAGGGAGAGATACCAGATCAGTGAAGCAGTATTAATATCATCCCGCTTCCGAAGTTTTGTGACCTCACATGCACGGACAACTACCGAGGGATAAGTCTTGCCTCTTTTGTCGCCAAAACCTTTAACCGGATGGTGCTCAGCCGGATTCGGCCAGTGATGGACCCATTTCTTAGAACTTCACAGAATGGGTTCAGGCATGTGGGTGTCAAACAAATACATCTTCCTGCAGTCATCACCTTCATTGACTTCCGCAAGGCATTTGACACTATCCACCGGGTCAAAATGATGAACATCCTCACCGCATACGGATCCCCAGTAAGTTAGTGCAAATCATTGGGGCGACCTACGCTAACACCTGGGCCAGGGTCATTTCAATGGTCGGTGTTACAGAGAGTTTTGACACCCTGACAGGAGTGCTTCATGGGTGACACCTTGGCCCATTTTCTCTTCATCATTGTACTCGACTACGCCCTAAGTAAGGCCATCAACGGTAGAGAAGAGGAGCTGGGTTTCACCATAGTGCCCCGCAAGACCTGGCGAGTGCCTCCTGTGATGATCACTGACAAAGACTTTGAGGATGAAATCGCAATAGTCTCAAATACATTTGAGCAGGCTCGAGCTCTTTTGTTATCAGTTGAGGAGGAGTGTTTGAAGGTTGGTCTACAGCTGAACACAAAGAAGGCCAAGGTGCTCACCTATTACATCAGTGGCACAGCTGTCTGCACGAGAGATGGTACAACTCTCAAGGTTGAATCTGACTACAAGTACCTTGGAGCTTAGATCAATTCCAGTGAGAAAGACCTCAAGACTCGAAGAGGACAGGCGTGGTCAGTGCTCCACAGATAAAAAAAAATGTGCAAGGTTCCAGGCTAAAAAGTAATATCAGCTCGAGTCGCGAAAATGTTTTTCAAGGCTATAGCGGAAAAAGTCGAGGGGGGGGGGGCGGATTCCGCCCCAGCCCCTTTAGGGTTAAGCCAGAGTACCGTAACATAATTCCCCCCCCCCCCCGGAAACACTAGTAACAATCAACATGCACTACTGGCATAGGCTTCATTGTTCAACAACTGCCTATCTGTATATTATTACCATAATCACCTGCAATATCTGCGTAATTAATATTATGCCAACCCATATGCTAAGGGGTGTACATATAATGCAAGTATAATGTAACTTAATGGCAAAACACAAAACTAAGAAACACAGAGACTAAACTACTCATTTGGAGATGCTATCACATGTTTTTGTACTTAGGTCGATCCTATAAAGTATTTGGCACCCTTAATGTTTTTTCACCTCGGGTGGTACCAATATCTGGTCTGGCCCTTGGACTATAAGGCAAACCGGGTTCTGGTGCGCGCGCGCGTCGTTGTAGCCATGCGCGTCGGCAAAAATGTTCAATATAAGATGATGTCTCAAAACCGCCAACCTCACTGGTTTGACTGGAATCCTGCTGCTGCACAATTTTAACTTGGTTTAAGATGGGGTTACGATTGAGTATAAGCTTTATGTGGCCTCTCTGGACTTCCATATATTTGCACTAAATTTAGGCGAGCACCACTTGCAGTCATCAGCCGACATTTGAAGAAAAAATACGGTAAAAAAAAGCCGCGTCGCCACACCACTTGTGGGGCAAGCTCCATACCAGAAACCGGAAACTTTTTTGGCGGGCCTAAATCCTGAAGTGGAACTTTTTATATGCGAGCGCGGAGCGCGAAGCCCTGAAGACGTGGACGTGGGGTCCGGGGCCAGCATATAGGGCCCCTGGAAATTTTCGGATTCTTGATGCTCTGTGGTGCATTCTCAGGCATTTCCTGGCCACTTTTCCCTAATTCTTTTAATAAAATGTGCTGGTGTTTAGGGGGATGGGGTTGGTCATGACAATTTATTACATCACAAATATCACATCAAAACTGTAGCTTGAGTCTCTTTCGAGATGTGCCCTCTTTTTGTACCTTGATCTATGATTTTGAGCCGTCACTATAAGAACCAGATCAATTCATAACTGCATGCGAGTGTCGAATGAGCACGAGCTTGTGTTTTGCACAGCTGTCAACCGCCGTAAATGAAGCAAATCGCGCGGCAGCTCGCGCCGACGTGTACAACTGTACTTTGGCATGGATTGCAGAACCGGATTTTAGCTTCGCGAGGTTTTGAGCAGCGGTGTTATTTTTTTACATTCTCCATTTTTCTTAGTCCCTCTTTTTTCCCCTTCCCTCTGCATTCTTCATTTTCTATTTTGCCGACAGCACCATGATTTTGTCGACAAAACGGACTAACGGGGAGGGGGGGGGGTTGCCACTTGCTACACCCCTCCCCCTCCCCTGGAGCGACGCTCGTGATTACCATGCACCGTGAATGTTCGAATGGTGCACGAATGACCTGCTTTCTGTCGATATTTGCGAAGCCATACAGTTTTATACACGAAATATACCACATTTGTTGGTACCGAGGAAGCGAGAAAGAGTAATAAACGATTTACTCTATGCATGTACTACCATTGTGTAACTTGCCCTGCGGAACTGAACTTTGAAGCCAACCAAGATATTGATTAACTGACTTAATTGAAGTGTTGGGCTCGTCGGGGATTGTAAGATTAGGGAATCAGTCGAGCTGGCTTGTACCCGTCCACAGGTGTGTAACCGATTGCAAAGAAAATGCGGACTTACTGAATAAGAATTGGAAGCAGTATTTAAAAAAGATATTTTGGTGGTCGGCCGACCGTTGGAAATTAATACAAACATGCCAATTTCTTGAAACTGTCAGCACACCAAGTGCGATGATTTTACAAGACGCTTTAGAATGTCATTCACTAACAGTCCAGTAAGGTATTTCATTATAATTTGGTAGTTTTGTTTTTTGATGTTTGCAAATGTTGTATATTCCCTTTCAGCAAAAGTTATATAAAACCTGAAGATTGGAAGAGTCAGGCAGTTATATTGCTTTAATTTTGCATTAAAAAGATAAAATTCCAACTTGATTGACATGGTATTTAAAATGTTCTTAAGCTGAACTTCTGAACTTAAAGGAAGCTTTCGGAACTGCTGTCAGAAACGTAACGTCAGAGGGTTATGTTTGTAAAAGCTATAGTATTTTCTCTTTCCGATACAGTGGCGTAACTGAGGGGTGGGGTAAGAGCATGCCTCCCCCACAAAAAATTAAGATCTCGTAGCGCTCGTTTCATGCGCGCACGTACCTGTTTTGCCTAATTTAAATGTATGCAGCGCGCATTCCCATCAACACTTTCGAAAATGAACTCCGAACCAAACTCTGACATTTTAATCAGAATTGTGCGCAACTTCATGGCACCTTCTGAAGGTGAGCGTGTGCACAAGATTTCTAAAACGTTGGTGTGATGTCTGTTCGTTGGTGATAGCGGTTCGTTGTGATAACGCCCTCTCGCTGTAGACTTTTGCGTTTCTACAACAACGTCTTCACCCAAGACTAACGTTGCACTTTTTACCGTTGTGTAGTTCTGAACATGGCGAATAGGCCTAGTCCGAGCCAAGACAATCGACTATGTTATGCAATACAAAGGCGACTTGGGGGGTTTCAAAGCTTTGCAAAATGAATCAGATGTTCCCAACTCTTTGAAATGCTCGATTATTCTTCCATTCAAATTGCAGAAATAGACGTCATCAGTCAGCCAGCCAATCAAGAACCATGAACCGCGGCGTATGCAAATACACCAACTACGCACAAAGCTTTCCCACGTGATCAGCTGAACATTATCAAAGAGCTCGGACATGGCGCCTTTGGTCAGGTGCTTCTAGCTGAAGCCTCGGGGATGACACAGGGGTCAAAGGTCACACTGGTTGCTGTTAAGACACTCAAAGGTTAGTACTTGTAGCGAAGTTATGAGATATTTGTCGGCAGTCATGATGATTTTACAACTTTTGCCAACTTGCAAATTCGAGCAAGAGTTTAAAATAAAGGTTAGGAGATGCAATTGGCAACTAATCAATTTCATCCCGTATATCTATACATTGTAATATTATGCAGATGGAGCCGGCCAGAGCGATAAAGCCGACTTGATAAGGGAGCTAGACCTGATGAAGAAGTTACCAGACCATTGTAATGTAGTCAGGCTCCTTGGATTTTGTGTAGAGGAAGGTAATGCAAATAACCATTTATTTTGTTTTTGTTTTGTTTTGTTTATTTTTTAGAAAGCTTAGAAATTGCACAGTCTTCCTTTTCTTACAGATCCGCCATACATCATTGTAGAGTATCAATCTAGAGGCAATTTGAAAGACTTGCTTGAAGACAGTCGTAATAAGAGAAGGCGTGTCTATGGCAACAGGCATGGTCTCAGTAATACCTCCAAGGATCTGATGAAGTTTGCCAAGGATGTGGCTGATGGAATGGCCTTCATCTCATCTCAACGGGTTAGCCCGGTTCAGACTGGGATCACTTACTCGCCCATTCCAGAATTCAGTATGTGATCCAAACCAATATTAGTCAGTGAGAAAGCATTGTTTAAAATACACAAAATGTGTTTCTGCCAGAGTTAATCAAGTGACATTGTCTTGAATGTATTCCAGTGCATTTGTAACGTGGAAAAATGGATCACTAGAGAAAAACACCTGGTTCAATGATTATGTCGCGATTTAGCTTTTTAAACTGGGACAAAAAAAAGAAAGAAAAGGAATCAAGGAAACAAAAATAGACTTCGCAAAATTTAATTTAGTCTAAAAAAAAACATTCCAACAAACAAAAAAACAATTTCAATCCTCGAGCGCAAAAAAAACTAGTTTCCAGAAATATACTTCAAGGCAAAAAATCTCAAACAACGTATAAAACACTCAAAAGAATTTGCCAGGGATAAAAAAATAAACAATTTGATAAAATTTAGGGATGATTACAAAAAAACTAAGTTAAAATTATAAAACCCAAAGAAGAAAAAAAAAGAAACAGAAGAAAACCCACACAGCAATAAAGGAAATGACTCTAAAAGCACAGGAATGAACTAAAAACCTGTAACAAGAAAATACAAACAAATGGCAATTTAAAAACAGTTCTTATAAAACAAAACTCCTATGAAACTACAGTCCATGTACTAAAGTATCCTCTAAGCTACAAAAGGGTACAAATGCAAGTTTGCCACTGTGTGCACAAGGGATTAACTCACTATGGACTGCAAGATACTGCACAGTCCAATGGGCCTCATAATGATATGCAAATCCTCTTGACTGTCTCAATAAACTATAACTTCTAAGAAGGAGGGAACAAAGGATTAAGGCATGGTCTAGGCTAAATAAATGGATACAGGTCTATGTCTAGGTACAAGTACATATAGTCAAAAAGAGCAACTAAAAACCTAGAATAATATGAAAATCAACGCAAAATGCAAGAAAAAGGAACTTAAACTCTGTGGATATTATACACATGAAACTTGCAGGTAATCCTAGACTCAAGCAATTAAAACTTGGACAAACTTATATTACAAAACTTATTAGAATCACACAACTTCAATACTTTCAAAGAATGGACTCCTCAAATGTTTAGAAATAAGCCAAAAGAATAATCAAGTTGGAATAAAAACTTAAAACAGTAATCAAAAGTTTCTAAGTTTCTAAACAAAAAGGCTAGTTAAAACGACTTCTAAGAAAAGAGCGGAGACACAAACGTTTTCATGTATAGGAAAAAACTCAATCTTAAAAGGAGCTAAAATGATACTGAACTGGATAATATGAGTATCATAAAGGCAAACATAAAACTGGATTTATACAATCATAAGAAAACTCATGAAAACTCATGAAACTTACCAAAAATGGAGCAGACAC